ACAGTATGTAAAGCCAACCCTGGCTCATGCTTAGCCGGATCAATCTCCCATACCTCTTTAATTCCAATCCCGTACGTTTGTGGATCGCGTCCCTCTCTCAGATTAAACTTGTTAATTAGAGTTTTTGTCAATGATCCATGACACCCTTCGGCGAATAAAGTGACTCTGGCTTTAAACTCCATTCCACGTTCGAAATTATCCTTTGGTTGAAAATTCTTGTCTAATCCAACATCGTTAGTAGCAATTCCAGCTACACTGCCATCTTCATTATACAACACTTCGCTAGCAGCGAAACCAGGATAGACTTCGACTCCTACTTCAGCAGCCTGTTCGCCAAGCCATTTTACAACATTACTTAAACTGACTATATAATTGCCTTTGTTGTTTACTGCAGGCGGATGGGGAAGAGGAAAGGAAAGGGACTTGGTGAGGAAAACCATGCGGTCTTTTAAGGCTGGTTGAAGAAGAGGAGCACCCAAGTCTTTCCAGTTGGGTATCAATTCGTCGAGTGAACGAGTTTCGATAACTGCCCCGGAGAGAATGTGAGCACCTGTATTGTGAGAGGGAGTAATTGAAGTAGGGAATTGGCGTTATTGAAGGCTTAATTTCACTGATATATAACGGGGGTCAAACCCAAAGACTAACATAAAGATGCATATGACTTCTCTCTTGCCTAGTACGAGTCAACGAACATACCAATTTCACCTCCTTTATCCACTACAACAACTCTAATTTCTTTTCCTTCCTTATTCGCCAACTGCTTAAGCCTAATTGCAGCCGCCAATCCGGAAGGCCCGCCACCGACAATAACAACGTCAGTGTTATCCTCAAATCTCGGTTCCTTCAACCGCGGATCTGTATTAGAATCGTCCACGGTAGCTAAGCGGCGCGACGCTGTCGACGATATTCTTCTGAGATTTCCTCGCAAACTTGGCGCATTCGAACCCGTTGATTTCGTTAGCTTGTGAGAAAGTAGCCGATGTGAGCAAGCTGCATAATGAAGTCTTCGAAATGGATTGGTAGAAGAAAAAGAAGAAGAAAGTGGGTATCTGGACAGTGTACGAAGACGTGCGTACGATCCAAAGGAAGCCATATTATTAATAATATACGTTTGTTTGAATTCAGTGGGGGAGCGGGCTTTCAGTAGGATATTGATAAAAACGAATGGAGATCCCTCTTTTCGGAACACACTAAGTATTATACGAGAAATAGTTATAGCATCGATATATGCTTTTTTTAAATTAAATTTTGAGCTAAGTGGCAAGCAACGTGTTGATGGGGATAATCGGGCATAATATGCGACATGTTTACACAG